GGGGGGGGGGGGGGGGGGGGGGGGGGGGGGGGGGGGGGGGGGGAGGGGGCGAAAGAGGGAAGCAAGCGGGATGGTCAGATGGAATCCAGGAGGGGGCATCTTAGATCTCGGGGGCGGATTAGTTGTCATGCATGTAGCTGTGATCTTCAGACGATATCAGAGCCCAGCGTTCCTCCGAGAGCCGTTCATTGACGAGGGGGTGCTAAAACTGCAATCAATGCTTCTGTAATATTTGTCCAGGCGACCACATAACGCCCATACAATGTCGGGAATGCTTTAATCTGACACGTGTGCGATGCTCGCTCTCCTTGCTTTGAAACATACGGTCGGATCCTTCCTGTTTTCGTCGTCGATGCCCTCCGTGCATAATTCTCCAGATAACATCTCCACAGATCACGGCTTGCCATAGAGGCAGAAGAGATGCGACGATAAGTTGGAGGAAACATGTTCATCCCTACCAGTACAGAAACGGGACGGAGCGCGCGGTCTTGAGTCCACTTGTCGTGAAAGCACCAAACTCTTCTACTCCGTATGTGGGTAACGAATACTCGACGACTGCTTGTTCAAACTGCTGCTGCTGCTGCTGCCCATTGTTTGCGATCATCACTACAACAGCACATCACCTTGCGGCAGTAGTCGCACACCCGGCCGTCGCACACCTCGCAGCCACACCTACCACGCTCGCACAGCCGGCAGACCGCCTGGCAACAACACGGCCGTTTGTCATCGTCCGCGTTCGTTTTCCGGATACCAACAATAAGAAGGACAAAAATCAGGCAAGAGTTAAAAGAGACGAGAAGATGAGGTCAGAATCCCATCCAACAATAAAAAAAACACAGCTTTCTTGGTGAGTCATCGTGCCGCTTTTTCGTGCGATCACGGACGCGTGTGTTGGCCAAAGCAAACAAGCGTCGTGGTGGTTGCAAAGCCTGGTATCATCTCAAACGGGAAATAATCTTTTCTATGGCTGTATGCACCATGTTCTACAAGGCCTGCCTACTAGAAGCATGCATACATCATACCTCCCGGCACTCCGGGTGTCCCTGGCAGGGCAAGAGGCAGTCCGTGTCGGGGTCGCCGGCTCGGCGGCAGTGCGGCATCAAGCAGCCAGAGCACTCCGAGAGCGAGAGCCGGCAGCTCGAGCAGAAAACAGTCTGCAGGCAAGCAAGCAGACAGGAAGGCAGGGGGCGTTAGGAACCACGTTGGGTGCCACGCTTGTTATATCTTGGTCGGTACAGAAGGTTTCGCCTCGCAATTGAACCAGATCGAAAAACCAACCAAATTGTTGTGTGTGGGGGGTGCCGGCGGTGGGGCTACTGCTGCGCATCAAGGGGCGGAAAGCAGGGTGAAAGGCGTCCAGCGGACGAGCGCAGTCTGCATGCCAACGGGGCGGAACATTCTTGCGAACGTGGGGGGAAGAAAACGGTGGGGGAGATCTGTTGCCGCTCGCCCTTGTGTTTCCCCAAAGGCAGTCGAAGAACGCATCTGACACAGGGGGACGAGATAACAAAACACCAGCCAGACGTAAGAGGGGACCTGCAGCCAGCAGCACAAAACGCGCGCGACAAAAAGTTCGGCCATACACGAAGGCGAGACTCGACGGCGGTGCTGCCAGCGCTTTCTCAAGGGGAACACGTTACACAAACTCGCTCACAACCGCCGGAGTCGAGTCACGAGCCTGATGTATTTTCATCTGCCAGCCGGAGGACACGTCCGGCGTGAATTAGATAGAAACACAACCACACACAACACACGGGGTCGCCCGCCAAAATACTGCGGGTTGGGGAACATACTTGTACAAGTACTCCAACTTGAGATTACAAATGAAGCTTATAGTTGTGTCAGCACGATGTACATAGTTGTGCCATCACGACCTCCTGCTGATGTGCGGTTGACCATAAAACAAACCGCCCACACGACCCAGAATCGCAAACACAACGGCAGGCCGACCGCGAAACTACGTGGTACCTCGCAGCTCGTGTTCGAGCAGCGCGTCGAGCACTCGGGGCCCGAGCACACGAGCCTGGCGCACCCGCAGCAGCACACCGCCTCCGCCGCGATCATCTCGTCCCCCGAGACTCCATCGCCGCCGCCGCCGCCGGTCTCGCCGATCGCGCTGAAGCTCACGGCCCTGGCGCAACGGTCGCACAGCGGCAGCCTTCCCCCGCACCAGCTGCAAGCGTTCGACAGGTCGGGTGGGCCCAGGTAATCCCCCGCCGCCCCGGCGCACCCGGCGCACCGGATGGTGCCCACCATCTCCGCCGCGGCGTCCATGCCGGAGGCCCCTTCCGCTAGGCCGCTGCCGGCGCCGCCGCCGGGGCCACCGGGGCCGCCGGGGCCGAGCGGCACGTGAGAATACGGACCCAACATCAATTGGTCATCCATCTCGGTGGCGGGGGCGGGGCGGAGCCTGCTGGGTGGTGGTATCTCACAAGTTGCGGTTTCGCTTAAGATGGATGGTCTTCAGGCTCGGTTTTTGCCTATTGGGGCGCGAAGGGGTGGGAGAAGGTTTGAACGGCATTGATGGGTGGGTGGTAGGGTAGAGTCAGAAACACGAGGCACGGCACGTAGGCTATGTTCGATCAGCAGGCGCTTTTGGATCAAAACCTCCGTAGGGTTGCTTGTGCGTGTGTTTGAGGAATAACAGAGCTAACCGGCAGAATAATGAAAGCATACGTCAGTCTCAGTGCGGTTGAAAAGTCGAAAACACAAGATGCGTGTATGCGTGGGTGCATATGGTGTCGGGGCACTTTTTTCTTTCCACGAGAGAGGGCAAGTACCACGCGAGGGAATCGATATCGACGCGTTCGCGGAGGGCGCGAGTGACGCCACACAATAATTCCACGCCTTCTGAGTGACTGGTGTCGCCGACCAGGTTGTAGCTGTTGGATGGCAGACAGGGGCGTGCGGGCGTGCCGATCCAGTGCCAAAGGCACCCAAGAGAACATCTTCCGCCTTCTCCGAAGCTTCTCCGAAGGGGACACGAGAGGCGGTGTGTGTTGACGGTTGTTGCTGTCCGTGACTCTCTCATCGTGCCCGACGAACTGTAATCGCAGACCCCAATCTTCAATTTAAATGTGGTGGCGAATTGCCCGTTTCCTCGACCCAGAGACCGAGCACCACTGCACAACGATTCTCCTCGACATAAAACACGACGGGGATGCATGTATCTGAAAACGAGAATATGACCGAACGATACAACGACACCTCTGGCACATTTATCGCGCCTTGACTGGTAGGCTTGAGGTTATTTCCTAGAAGAGAACATGCGTTCAGGAATCACCTTCACCTTCGACCCGTCGACGCCTTGCTTCTCTACCAAGATTTTAGATTCCAAGGCTCGCTTCGGCACACTACTGTATACTTTTCGACGTTGGCGAAACGCTCACCGCGGTACCCACGCATTAAGGTAATGGATGGTAAGCTTTTTGATGGTAACCATTTATCATTCCGGGTCGTGCGGAAACAGCCACCCGCGGTGTGCAAGATATGTTGGTTGTGGCAACTGGCCTTCACATATATACTTTGGACGGGAACCTGGCACCACGGGTAGTGCATTGCAATTCTTCGATGGTAACTGGCCATCGCGGGGATTAGTCGCACGGGAATCAGCCACGACGATACTTGCAGGTATCTTGAGACCTTGATTTTCACATTGTTGCATATTTCTTTCACGTTGCGACGTGCGCACTAAAGGTGTTCCTAGACATCTGAGCAAGACTCTGGTAACTGCAGGCCTTGTCTACAGAACCACAGACAGCAAACTCCTTCCCGCCGAAATATAGCCCGAACTAAAGCCTTGGGCAAATCCCAAAATACGCTGAAAATAGAGACCAACCCCAATGACAGCCGACAAACATCAGTAGCCCCGTGCTACTATCCACCAGGACTTGTTGATCGACAAAATGATCCACGAGAGATACCGCCAAGGTCTCCGCTCTTCTCGATAGATCGCCGCCGAGGGAGAGAGGAGGAACACTAACAATCGACTTCCAAATCAGTGCAGCAGTGGAGTTCCCGAATAAGGCGGTCGGAATAAGGCGGCCGCCCTGTGTAAGACGGTGAAGCTGGCTGTTTAGCGTAGACGGAATAATCAAGTTGCTCTGCACATTGTAGGAGGCGGTAATTGTCCGCTGCCCCACCGCCGACATATTTTGGGGACCCTCACTCTATAACTTTCTTCATCTTCGTACAAAAGCTGATCCTCTTCGTTCAAACCCTCGTGCGTACACAGAGGGAAGAGGATGCTGCACTATTGTATTTAAAATCGAAGGCAAAATGCCGCGGGAGGGTTGGATAGGCCTCAGGGAGAGGAACTCGCCTCAGGGAGAGGAACCCTTCTGTGTGACCACGGGTTGGAGTGACCGGCACAGACAAGTGTTATGAGCCCTGAGTTGAAGTTGTTGTTTTTGTTCTCTTCACACTAATACCGTTCCGTTCTCTCTGCCCAGTACCTTCTTCTGTCCGCACTACATTCCAGGTAACGGAATCCCTATGTACTTCGAAGAAGCTGTTACTCTATTTATCCAGGGTTGGTGCACAGAGTTGGGCGTGTCCGCTGCTGCTGCCTCCTTCCACCGCCTTCCACCCGTCTTCCCCACACGAACAATAACACAGACAAATGAAATAGCAAAGGTTCGTTGGTTTGCTATATTTCAAGAGATACACGTTCGAACTTGTCAGGGACCCTTATCTCATCCGTGAATCTAGCCAAATGATGTCGTTCTGTGTTTGTATGAAAACAAACAATACAAGCATTAAGAACGCGCGTCCGGTGGTGGCAAGAAACTCCGATTGTAAAACGACAGGGTCAAGCAGTACTTACTCCAGAATTTCAACGTGTTCACCCCCGAACGAGCTTCAAGTTTCAAGTTCACAATCTTCTACTAGTCTACAGCAGTAGTAGGGTCACGACTGCAGTAGCTCTAAATAGGTACGTCACTGCTGAGAAGACATGAGAAAGGTTGGGAGGTTTGGTACGTCAACCTAGGGAGACGACACCCCCCGTACAAGCAGTGTTCCTACTGCTGTAGATCAACTCACGTCCCACACTTCACGTGGCCGTCGCCGCCGCTTCCACATACATGTTGGGACTTGCTCCATTGTATCCTCTCGGGATAATGGGAAACAAATGCCGTTGGATCGATCGTTTCGAGACGCAGGCTCCTAGACAAACGACAGATAGTCCAAGGCTGCTGAACGTGAATCTCCGGCTTCTTTGAAAAGAGCGAGCGCTGCTGTGTAAAAGTACCGCAAACACGACACATGATCACTGGAACAATTTTCAAAGCTCCATCATCATTCCACGACGAAGAAAATGCACAAACAAAACGATATAGTTTCGGACAGCTCTCCACCAGACGGCTCCAACGCCCAGCCCTGCGCCGCCGTTCTTGGCGCTGTGCCTCTTTCTGCTGTTGATCAATCGAGCTTTGAAAATCGATCCGGGCGTGTTATCGGTGCACACGAACGATCCATGAATAACAATCGAAGCACACTTGTTTCAGAGGTTCGCGACACCAATACACAGGAGCATACTGCTGCAGTTTTGGGTATCGACGATGTCTGCTCTCTTCCTGTGTGTTGCGCGTAAGATATGTCACGGGCCAGCAACATCGGGCGACCCAGCGGGAAGCCAGTTTAAAAAAATGGTGCCGCGTATGCTGGGAACATGGAAGCGACTGCTGAGCATGTTAGTATCGGGAAGAACATCATGGACAAAGTTCTCTGCTGCGCTGTGGAAGACAGAAAAAGCGCACAATGCACACGTGCCAGCAGCATGATCTCCGACAAACCGTCTGTCTCGCAAGCGTCCTAGGTGTCCCTCTTGGGGAACAGAGATGGATATCCTACCGCAATCCTGTGTACAATCAGGCACGGACGGCGCCGGCCGAAAAGGCCGCCTACCCCGCCACGTTTTCACATCAGTAATACGAGTCCCAAGTGCGTTCGTTCGCTCTCTGCGCAGGAGTTGAAGCGCGTGCAAAACTCACCCGACGTCCGTTCCTCTATGCCTATCTCCTTCCCGCGCTCTGTGTTTCTCTGTCCCGCTGTTTGGGGCGCCTCGCTTTTGTCGCCAAGCTGTCCGCTGTCCGCTGTCCGTTGACCGTTGTCCCCTGCCCAGCGCGCATCCGGGATACTCTGTTGACATGCACATACCGCCCATATCTCCGTTGGCGGCCCCCCAGCGGGAGTCCCAAGACGAACAGCCCAACCCAAACCAGCGGAGGACACGACCGCACGACGCGAAATGGATGCCGGCCTTGGTGGGCGCGGGGGAAGCTCCAACATGTGGGTCACCAATACCTTGTCGTGAAGTCTAAGTAGCTGCTCTCGGGAACCAATAACGGCTTCTGTTTAGGCAGTCTAGTTCGATCTTGCGCCCCGCTCACCGAACACACACCCGTCCACAGGCTTGCTTACACCCCCCTTCGACCCCAACGCACGGCAGGGTTATGGGTGCTGTGCGGAAGCAGCACATGAATATCGCCCTGTGGTTTGGCTTCTTCACAGCCTCGTTTGTGGTCTTCTACCTGTTCAGCGACGGCGATTTCTCCTTCCTCATGGTGAGCTAGCTGTACGAAGTAAATCCACCGACTTGTGCGTAAGACTACATTGCATACGCTGTTGCGCACCTTCTCCGTCTCCTAACGGGGTTGGGCATGCTATCGGGCAGCACGCCCGGCCTCCGCCTCTTGTAGCTAACGCCTACGGGGTCTTTTGCAATACCGGCATGATCATGTAAACGTCCGCACAAGGTACGGTCGGAGATGTTGCCGCTGAGGCGGTGTGCAATCATTAAATCTGCGTACACGTGTATAGACACAGCAGTTCTTGCGTGCGGCCCCCGCAGCCGTCGTGCGCTTGAACATCTCTTTCTCACAACCCTATGTACAAGCAGTAGCGCGCCACATAATATACACGGAGGCTGGTGGCAGCAGCAGCAGCAGCAGCAGCAGCGACAGCCCCGTTACAATTATGTTCGCGTCCAGGTTGACGAATCCGACCGAAATTCCTCGATCTCGGCGCTGCGGTCGTCGGGGAGATTCTCCCCTCCCTCCCTCCATGTTGGGGTGTAGAGTAGCACATCCTTCGACTACCAAAACTGTAACAGTTGCAGCAGCAACAGCTCTCAGAAGTGGGGGCCACGTTGGATGTTGCTGTCTTGTAAGCAGATGGACATGCGAGTCAGAAAGACGGCACGTGCGCCGCTGCTGTGTCTTGTCTTTGCATCTGCCACCGCACAGTCGGCGACAAAATCGACGAAACGATGTTCACAACCACCGCTGCGGTTGGTTACTGTAGGCACACGAGATGCTCCGCCCCTTGTATTATTCGTACGAGGTGCTGCCCTTGGAGTCTCCACTGCACCCAATTTTGTTGAAGCTGACGTCGCCCTCCACCCCTTTGTCTTTGGTGCTGTCTTTTATCACCACGAAAATCACCACCGCAACTTGATGAAAATCAACCAACACATGCGCAAACCAGACGTTCGCCTCTTTCACGAGAGGCTTCGGGTTCGCCGTACTGCTGGGGCTGATGCTTGCGAAGAAGCACGCGCGAGGGGTCTCCATGAAGAGTCTCCAACTCTACGCCGTCGTATTCGCCTCGCGGTTGGTGTCGGTGCTGCAGCACGAAGGGTACCTTCCCTACGACAGGAGCGGGTGAGTTGGCTTGGGAGAGCGCATTAATGCGCGTCGACAAACCAGCACCCCCCCACTACAGCGGCAGGTACCGACGCACCGCCTTTCAAACCTCATGTATAACACCTCGTGGCAAGATGCCGGTATTTGCGGTGCCTTACCTTTCATGTTTTTGCCTGCGAGGGCGCATGGTTAATAAATGGTAAATGGCGGCCGTGCAAGGCAACACATTCACCTGCTCTGCTCCCCCCCCTTCCTGTCCGCGAACAGTGACTTCGTTTACCACGGGGCCGAGATCGCCTCGCTGGCGCTGGCGGTGGGCTGCGTGGTGCTCATGTCGACCAAGTTCAAGTCGACCTACCAGCAGGACGTGGACTCGTTCGGTGCGCTGCACGTGCCGACGGAATGGGGCACGCTCTACATCTTCGTCCCTTGCCTGCTGCTGGCGATTGTGAGTCTCTCGCTCGACGACTCGACTTGCGCGATGTCGAACGCGTGGAATCCTTATGCTTTTTTTGGTCCAACCTCCATGGTATTTTCTCTCTCTCTCTCTCTCTCTCTCTCTCTCTCTCTCTCTCTCTCTCTCTCTCGCTCCCTCGCTTCCTCTCTCTCTGCCCTCTCTGTCCGCCTGTCTCTGTCTCCGCCTTTTCTATCTTTTGTGTGTTATTAATAGTCAGCCCGCCCTCTTTGTTGATTCCGTAGAATTTTGAATAGCTGCGTGCACAGTTGCCTGGCCGTGTTTCCTTGTAACAGGGTGTGTTGTTTCCGTCATGCCGCGGCATCTACGGTCTTGTACGCGTTACTACTGGAAAAAATGTCTGTTTTCGTCGATCCGCGGGCGGGCGCACCGCACGCTCAAGAAGGCTTTGGACACTTCAATGATAGTTGCAGCAGCATATGTGGGGAGCACCCGCGAGCGTGACAATGCCCTACAACTCCAAGTGTGCTATCTACCGCCGTGTTTTCTACGTGTTTCGTTTTTCATGACGCTCGCGCCCTGTTTGTTCTATCGATTTGGCCTTAGATCGATTGATTGATATCCCCTTCTTTTCCTTCTTATGGCGTGGCGGGGGAGTGCAGGTGATGCACCCGAACCTGAACAAGAACTTCCTGTCGGACACGGCATGGACGTTCTCCATGTACCTGGAGAGCATGGCGATTGTTCCTCAGCTGTTCATGTTCCAGAAGCAGGCGAAGGGAATCGTCGAGGTGTTGGTGAGTGTTCGTCCTTGTGATGCTGTGTTGTTGTTGATCCTGGCCTGGTGCTGTTGCCGGTGCTCTCGTTGCTGCCCTGCGGTCGTCCAGGTGTTGGTAAGTTTGCTTTCAGGACGCACCACCAATCGAAGGACGTACGTGACCGGGTTCAGAGTTGAAAACCTCTAGCTGTGTGTATGCAGTTTCTGAGTTAGGAAGTGGGCCACGAAATGTGTGCTGGTCTCCTGCGGTAGACGTCTCATGTGTTGGTTTTTCGTGGTGTACAGAAGCTGTTGGCATGCTCCCGAGGTGTGACAGCACGCAAAGGTTTTTGCGATGGTTGTGAGATCCTGCCTGTGATAGCGTGCCCCCTGCAACAAGAAAGGCACGAGACGAATTTTTCCGTTGTCACGACGCTGTGTTGTGAAGGCCCGGGCAACCTTTTCCTCCGCTCGTTGCCCATCTTGTCAACACCTTGATGTTTCCCACGGGGGGATAGTGCTGCGCAAAACACTTGATCCCTGCGTGTCTTTCGTCGAAACGCTTGCCTCCGGACGGGTTTAAAAACTCTGCGCGCAGGTCACGCACTCGACTTTCGCCTTGGGTTTGGCGAGGGTGCTAGATATGGTGTTCTGGATGTTCAGCTACAAGGAGCTGACCCACGCGGGCTCGAACTCGGTGGGTATGTTCGTGCTGTTCTCCCAGTTCGTCCACGTCCTCATCATGGGGGACTTCTTCTACTACTACGCTATCAGGTCTGGTAAATTGTGTTGCTTGTTTTGGGCTTGCCGAGGATGCATTTTTTTTATCTCTATGATAGCATGTACAGAGCGCATGGTCTGAAAGCAGGTGTTTCTGCTCGAGCTCGCATGCAACGAAGTTCAGCAGTTTTACGCGAAATAGTTTTTTTACGGCAAGTATGGGGCAGGGCGTCGAAAGAAGGGTGCAGAGTTGCAGCGTAACGGGGCGCTCGACGTCAAGTACTAGACATACGACCACGAAGAGTTAAAAACTCGACCGGATTTTCATGTTCTTGTTTTACGGCCCTACAGCTCTTGCCAAACAGCTCTCGTCAGCTGCACGTTTGGGTGTTGTATCTTAAAAGAGCATCAGTCGCACCGCTGGAGACAGGTGGGAGAATAAGAAAGGTTGTTGACTCTCTTGGCACACGGAGTTGTGTAATTGAGTAGTTCACACGTTGAACACTACTCCAGCAATCAGGTCGGGAATTAGCCAAATCAGACTTTCTTGCTTCCACGCGATCAGATCGGTCAGCGAAAGACAGGCACAACAATAGAGATGTTAGACATCGTAGAGGGCAGGTTATTGTGGCTTTTCACGGAAACACTGTAAACTTCTTTTGGAGAGCGCTCCATTGGTCAACGCGCCCTCTCTAATATATCTCTCCTGTTTCACTCCCTCGCCCTGTCTCTTCGCCCGCCGACTTGACATCGAAAATGGACTCGCGATACGGTGAACCGACAGCGTGAAGACAGGGAACATGATGCAGCTGCCATCTCAGCTGTCGGGCATGGTCTGATGTGCTCGAGGTTTCGGTCCATCTTCGACGCGAAGACGCCACTATGTGACGGTGGCGGTGGTGGGAAATCACTCTGTTCGACCTAAATTTCCGTCGACACGTGTGGTGGTTTCGCGGCCGAAGATAGCCTGGGGGATTCGGCCGAACATAACATTAAAACCAACCCAAAAGGCGTGTTCCGTGTTTGCGCCGCTGCGGAACAGAGGAAGGGGAGAACACTACCGCGTATGACACAAGATAACACACCCCCTGGACCGATTTTCAAAGCTCGATTACTCCACGACGAAGAGGATGCATAAACGAAACGATACATTTTCGAAAAGCTCTCGACGAGGCGGTTTCAACGCCGCCGTTTTCGACGCTGTGACTGTTCCGGCAGTTGAGAAATCGAGCTTCGAAAATCGGTCAAGGGGGTGTGTTATCTTATGTCATATACGGTATTTCGGAGGGGGGAGGCAACCTTTGTTGGCCGGCAGGACGAGCGATAGAAATGAGGGGACCGGTGACTGTTCCAGGAATTTTTGTTGTCTCAGCGAGATCACAGGCTCTTCTTTCGGTATGGCGATCTCTCATTTACTACTGTTGCTGCGAAACCAAAACACGATTGGGACGGAGGGGCGCGACTTGTCTTTTCGGAAGTGCTAAAAGTGAGGTACGCACATGTTTTTTTGAAGAGAACGCCGCAGCGCGTTTTGTTTTCGCACGCATAGGTATGGATGTCGACGAGTGGATGTGTGCACTCGCTTGACCGCCACTTGCTACCGAAGCGTGCATGGATTGTGTACCATTTTGTGCTGTCTTTCTTTCGTCGGGATTGGGAGGGGCGGGTGGGACATGCGGTCTCGTGAGCAAGAGAGAGCTTACTCGTGGGCAATGCAATGCCCTTCGGGTGGCCTCAAATCAACCCAGAACTCGATTGGATTGGATAAGACTTGTGAGCATTGGATGCTGACCGTTCCCCCCACCAACGCCGAGCATGCCATGGGCGTTGGAGCTTGATTCTGGTCCTAATCTGGTAGTCAATCACCGGATGGGGTAATTCGTCTCGGCTTCGTGAGGGTACAAGGCCATTAGTCGGATTACAAGCGTGTCAATCTTTTGGTACCCCCCCCCCGACGTTGGTCTAACAACTTGGAGGCATGCAAAACATTGGTAAGACGACCGGCCTCGCTCGTCTTGCGTATTATTGGTTTTGGATCTAAAGTCAGTGCGTGTGCGTCGGTGGGACGAGCCATTCTTCGAGACATGGTTTCGCGGTAGGTTGGGGCGTGACGAGACCTTCCCCGGCAGCCACTCTCATTCTGTATTTTGTTGTTGTTATTGTTCTGGGAGGAGGGGCGACGTTGGTGACATGATCGTCGGTGCTGTTGAAACTTGTTCTGGTACTCAATATCGTGTGTTGAAAAGATGTCGTCGCGTTAGAAAATGTTGATTGTCGCACTGCTGTCCTACCCGGCGTTGTGATGCGAGCTCCTCTGCTGTGTCTGTTATCTATTTTTCCGTCTTGCTACATGTCTCGTGGATTTTGTGTAGTCTAGACTAATGAACCAGGACCTATCCTCGCCTTGGAGCAGTGACGTATGATGTTGACGCCTGCCCACAGCGGCAGTAGTTTGCAGCATTGCGGTGCGACATGTCGCTGCGTATGTATGTAACATTATTGTGCTGCAGCCCCAGAAAACGATCTCTACTGCTTGGTGCGGGCGCAGTCGGAGGCAGCGCAGGAAGAAGATAACACGTTGCGTGAACGTAGAAAGTGTGCAATATATTGCAACAGGTGCACTTCATGACATTTTGCGAGGTCGTGAGAGTTCTCCAATGCACACCGCAGTACACAGCAGCTGGTGCGCGGCAGTACCTCAAAAGAATCGGGCACGAAGAAGAGAACATATATGTCGCGTGGATTTGAAGAGTCTGAATGCACCGCAACCTTGTTGCGCTTCTTCTCTTTTTCAAAATAATCACGTACTAGATTACTAGATGCTGTGGTCGCCCTACGCGAGTTGTCGTATGAGCGGGGCGGAGGAGGGCAGAGGGAAGCGAGAGGTGATCCCACGTGTGCCACACCGACACAGGTGAGGCAGCTTTTCCTTCTGGTGGGGCTTGGTGGAAACTCCGAGTTGCCTTGCCAAGAGTGAGGCGAGTAGAGCTGTAGTTGGTGATGGAAAGCAACGTAGAGTTGGGGGAAACAGTACCCATCATGCAAGATGCACCAGCGTCCATGTGGAATATCTGGCTTAATAGTCGAGCCTATTATGAAGGTGACACCCATGGTACACAAGACAACCATGATTCAACCTCGAGGACTCAGTGCATCCATATGGATAAGTATTCACCGTCTCGACAATTCAGTTGCCATCGCACAACAGGCTGTTTTCAACCACACGCTCTCTGATCGTGGACCGAACAAAATCCTGTCGTGTACGAAGCCGGAAGATGCAACAAAAGTTAAGGTTGCTTGTGCGGGGCTCCGCGATTTCATCCGGGACTGTCATTTTTGACCACTGCACCGGCTCCTATCTCTTTGCTGGCCAGGGCGAGGGGGAGAGAGCACTCTGTGTGCGGCGTCAACTCTGCGCTCCGTGCCTCTGCGGCTGTCTCTCTCGTTTAAGGTGGGAGAGCGATGCAGTGGAGAAATGATGCTCGTGACAATTGGGACATAACACTACTACTTGCGAGCACGCTGGCCGGGGAGCAACACTCTTTTCTAAAGGCAGCGAGGGACAACGAGATGATGGACCTCACGGTTGCCTTCCCGCCTACACGAACAAATCACACACGCCCTAGTGAAAGAGCGAGGATACTGCAAAGGCAGGAGTGCTCCATACAGCCCCATATGTTTCTTTCCCGTGCTCAGTGCTCCCTTTCGGCATAGCGCCAAGTAGAGTACGGTAGCGCAACTGCTGTGAATACCTGATGCACGTGCCAGGCGGTGCCGGACCAACTTCGATCGTGCACGATTTACACCGTATGCACACAGGGTTCAGATTTCATGAGGACTCGCGTGGCAGGAACGTTGCCGCGCAGGATATATCTTCCTGTCGTCAGTTGTCTACGCCTGGCAGTTGGCATGTATAGCCTGGTTGCTTGGCTTGTTCCAATATAGACCGTGTAGCACGACTGGCAGCATCTCCCGGTGCCCCACCTCTTTTCGATTTCATTGGAAGGCACCATGCGGGAGAGGCAACCGTCGCGTGTGTGAGACGTCTAGGGCCTGCCGTACTCTCGCTTTATTGGCATTGATCAGCAAATCGGCTAACTGTAATGAATAGCTCGTGAGTGGGCCCCAGGAATCGGATATAATCAGTGGTTCCAAGTTCCAAGACACTACGATATGGGTTCTCAGTTCAGGCGGATACACCGCAGGAGGGGGTCCAACCCCCCCCTCCTATGTGACCCCGGTTGGGTCGTCTAGCTAGTAGAAGTGGAGGATAGGGACCAGAGGGGCAGACGACAGAGTCCAATGATGGGAGAAAAACAACAACAACAACAAACCGTATTGAGCAATCGCATGTATCATGACAGAACAAGCACTCCAAGAGAATGGGTAGGGACTGCCCGAAATCGAGGAAGGGAGATCGTCCTCCATGGGATAGAGACGTCTGAACACCGTGAGGCGGCGATGGTAAGACTACCAGATTTAGCTGCCGTTAGCTGCCAAGGGAGGGAAATCGTCCTCCGCGGGATTAGAGACGTCTGAACACCATGAGGCGGCGATGGTAAGCCCACCAGAGTTGGCTGCCGCGAGAGAGTAGCACGTGGTGTATTGGTGTGCATCCTCCATTGCCGATTCACCCTACACGTGTGTTCGCGTGCTACCCCTTCCATCGTTTTCTGTCTACCCTTGTTGTCGTCCGTGCCCGACCCCTATTCCCCATCCCTCGCCCCGGAAACAGTACAGCACGACACTAGTGTCAGCACACTACTAGTGTACGTTCGAATCGGGAACTTGGGCGTCAGCAAGAAAAAGCGACAGTGGAAGAGCGTCAGGGTCCTGCGGCGAAACGACCGCGCTGTTTTGAACGGCGGGGTTGCAGCACAGCCACATCAAGTATTAGAAGCAGGGCGCGTAACGTTTCGTAGACCAAACATGAGCCTCGACGGCGGTAGCGGCGTCGTTGAAGCGCTGGCGGGTAATGGTGGCGGCCACACAAGGCGTGCGGCGTTAGGGACGTCGCTTTCGACGAGCGAAGCGTGCTCTATGTGCGGGAGCAGGAAAACATATACACCCGGCTCGGTGTGCGCGGACTGCGAGGTACCACAGCTTTTGTATGCACACACCTTGTGCTTTGTTTTGGCCGCCGGTACTTCGTCGTTGTCGAGAGAGAATCACGCACTTTGTTGCGTCCATCCCGAACATTATTTCGCGCGCAATACCCATGGTACAGAAATGTGGTTTTGCGCCCGCCGTCCCACGAGTAGCAGACGCCCTTCCCGCGGGAAAGCTGCTGCATACGTGGACTGTTCCTACAATTCTCGGCCGCGAATGCCCCTTGAGCCACCATTCGTGGGAGTTTGCTGTATCTCCTACCAAGTGGACGGCAGTAGAACCGCTCCCCGTCTGACAAAATCACACCTCGAATCCAGGTCAAGCACTGGGGGCGATCGCTAAAAGATGACGGAATGCCAACAAGCCTTTGTTGTGACGACTGCAACTCACCACAAAGTTTAAGTTTTCATCTTCTGCTCAGGTTGGCGGTGCTCAATCATGGTCTCACACGTAAAGGACGAGTTGATTGATCAACAGGCTCCGGCATGTGGAAGGGTTTGTTGCCAGCGGACGGGTCGCAGTGCTTTCAAGAATCCCTAGATATTTCTCTTCTCGTATTCTATTTCATGTATTGGAGTGTATGTGAAGTATGCATTTCTCGCTTGGCTTAGTGCGATGCCCTGATTTGTTATGCAGGCCAACCACAAGCTTGCATTTTGCCCCTCCTGATGGCGGCCCCCGCCACCCGCCCCTTTCTTTCGTAGACCTATGCCTGCTACAAGTGTGAGGGACCTCTCCCGGAGTGCTCGAGCTGCTTGATGTCGTTCTGCGAGGGGACGGGTGACCCGGAGACCGACTGCCTCTTGCCCTGTCAAGGGCAGCCGGGTTGTAGCGAGGTGGGTGGGAGAGAANATACCCTAAAGAGACAGGCAGAGAGAGAGAGAGAGAGAGAGAGAGAGAGAGAGAGAGAGAGAGAGAGAGAGAGAGAGAGAGAGACACACACAGAGAGTGAGAGACACGCACAAAAGAGAGAAAGAAAGAGGTGGTGGGCCTGCTGCTGTTGTCGCTGTTGTCCTCATTCGGATAGCCGTTACAGACCCTTCACAACAAGCGCGACATCCGGGTGCTGGTCCCAGATGTCGGCGGGAACACAGTTTTCCTCAATCGTGGGGCAGCACAACGCTCAGGCGTGTGCGAAAAGTACATATGCAATGCGCCCTGCAAGCAATTTTGTGCCCCCGCCCCTGAGTCTCGGCAAGCTAGACTGCATTTGAGTCCCCACTGCTGTTGTCGTCGGCTCCTTTTTTGGGGGGGTTCAGGCTACGTGCGCGCGTGTGCGCGTCCGTCCCGGATGTTCTATCTGGGAAGGAGGGGGGGGGGCGTACTCTTATGTTTTGCATGCCTTAGCGGTTAGACCATTGACCACGCGTCCTCGAGAGGACGGAGCATTGTTCCCACAGGACCGATCATGCTGCTTTGTGGCACTTCAGCTTGTTCACACACGCCTCAACCTCGTCCTCACTGAACTCCTTTTCTAGTTCTACGTTCCCAACGTCTGCCTTCGATGTCTCTTCTTCTTTTTGGGCCCATGCGTCCACCTCCTTCTTAAACGCTTGGTCAAAAGCTTCATTCTCCGAGGGCACTCCAAGTCTCTTGTAGTGTCCTGCTAGAACTTCCCTTTTTCCCTTCCCACTGCTGACTAATCCACCGTTCACACCTCGCAAAGTTGCGACCCCTGTATCCCCCCCTTGCGCGGTCTTTTTTACCATTCCACTAATCCTTTCCCACATTTGCTTGACGTTCCCCTCCAGGCCTCCGTTGGCCTTCTGTAGCAAATACACTTTTGCTTCTTTTTCACTAGTCCCTTCACCTGTTTTCTCTTGGCCCTGTACTTTTCCCAACTCTCCTCAGACGCCTCACTCAGGTACTGCTTGAAGACTT